CTAATATTTCTTCGCTGCAGATGTCCTGAAGCCCCGGAAGGGTCCCCTGGGGACGCGGACCCTATTAGAACAAATGTGCTCTGCTTTTGTAAAGAGGCGCGTTGGCGGCGCCTGTCCTATTACAGGCGACACATGATCAATAGGCTGATAACGCAGCAACATCAATATAAGCGACAGAACAATGAGGGATATCATTGGGCATCTATCTTAATATAGCCCGCTACAAGCGCGCTGACAAAGAGTGCAGCTCATGAAAATTCCGCCCCACGATCCCCCATCTCCGCTCCAATATGCGCACGCACTCCCCCAGCTGCCGGCGCTATTATTCTCCAATTTCAATTTGACACCCCAGCCTTTCATGCTAATTCTATTATTGTAGGAAGTTTATGTGATTTCATATCACTAGAAATCGGTAATGTATAATAACCCTTTGGGCAAGAAACCCAGTCCCCGCAGCCGCCACCGGAAAATAATTACTTTCATATCAAAACTCTGCAGGAGCCCAGCGGCCCGGCCCTCTGCAGCCCCCGGCTCCTGTCACCCCGCGCCGCGCGCCCCCGGCGCGTGGGGGAGTGCGGGGGTGCGCGGGGGGGTGGTGTGTGTGTGTGTGTGTATGGTGTCAACGCGAGGGGGGAGGTGGCGCCGAGTAGGAGGGGGAGTTGCGGGGGGGGGCCGGAGAGGGGAAGCTCAGCTGAGGTTGCATACATTTGTTCGATCAGAAAACACAAACACACGCACACAAAAGGAAGCACCGAGCGCGGACCTGGGGGGGAGGTGCAGAGTCCCCTCCCAGGCCCACCCTCCAAAAGAGGAGTGGGTGAGTGGAAGGAGGAAGGCGGGGTATGGGGAGTAGCTCCAAATTTAAAAACGACGGAGGATTCTTAGACATTTTTGCATTTTACAAGGCTGAGGATTCTCGTTGTGGGGTTTTTTTTGTGGGTTAGGGGATTCTTTTTGTGTTGCTCCCTCCAGAGGAGGGGAGCTCACCCCAGGACCTGCAGCTGCTGCCCTGGTCCCCATCGACACAGCGTTTTCATTTGTCTTTAAAAATAATAATAAAAGGAATAAAACAAAAAGCAGGAGGGAAAAGCAGTGTCTCTAAGAGCCAATCACCTGATTCATTGGGAGTCCGAGGCTAAGCGAGCGGGCGCGGCCGGCTAGGCGCCTCTTCCAACCTCTGTGCCTAGCTCAGTCCATGTCCACCTCCTCGCCTTCGGGG